CGAGTCGGTCCCCTACTACCGCCTCTTCCCCTACCGCACTCCGTCCCTCCCCCCGCCACCGCTCTTCCTTGTGCCAGGTCCCCCCCCGGTAGACCCCCTCCCCCCTCAGGGTCCTGCCCCTTCAGGTGTGTCCCAGGTAGACGCAGTCGAGCCTGTCGAGGTTACTGGTGACTCTGGTGATGCTGAGGGTGCTGAGCCTGGGGGTGCTGACTCTGGGGGTGCTGAGCGTGTGGGTGCTACGCCTGGGGGTGCTGAGCCTGAGGGTGCTACTACTGGGGGTGCTGAGCCTGGGGGTGCTGAGCCTTGGGGTGCTACTACTGGGGTTGCTGAGCCTGGGGGTGCTGAGCCTAGGGGTGCTACGCCTGGGGGTGCTGAGCCTGGGGGTGCTACGCCTGGAGGTGCTGAGCCTGGGGGTGCGGAGCCTGAGGGAGCTGGGCCTGCTCGTGTGGCGTCTGACGGTGCTGAGCCTGGAGGTTCTCCGGGTGCTTCGTCTCGGCGGGAGCCACTCTCTCCACAGGAGCTGCGCGAGTGGTTTGCCCGGCGCTGGAGGCGTGCTGCTGGAGCTGGAGGTTCTTCGGCTGCTGAGGGTGCTGGTGCCGCGGGTCCGGGAGGTGCTCGTACTGGGAGTACTGGAGCTGCTGGGCCTGCGGGTACGACTGGAGCTGGAGCTGCTGAGGGTGTTGGCGCTGAGGCTACTGCTGTCGGTCCTGGAGGCGGTCCTGCTGGGGGTGCTACTGGTGCTGCTGGAGGTACTGGAGCTGGAGGTGCTGCTGGCGCTGGTGCTGCCGCTGGGGGTACTGGTGCTGTCCCTGCTGTGTCTGGAGTCGCCGCGCGGCCTCGGCCGTACTTCGTTCCACTCCTTCAGCAGGTTCTTGGTCTCCCGCCTTCTACTGGTCCTCCTCCTCCCTTAGAGTGTCCACAGCCTGTCCCGTCACAGTTACAGTTACAGCCGGCCTCCCCACTGCCCGCTCCTTCTCCCTACACTGGTCCTACTGGAGGTCTTGCTGAGCGTCGTGAGCCTGCGTCTCGCCCTGCGTCGCCTGTCCGTCCTGCTCGCACTAGTGGTCGTGGTTCGCGTCAGCGTCCTCCTCCTGTCCTGGCACGCACCGGATGTCTCTGCGTCTGTCCACTGCTCCTCTGCGTGCCCCTTTGCCTTCTCCTCCTGAGTCCTCTCTTCCTGCTCTTCCCGACCCGGAGTCGGACTCTCTTCGTGCTGCCAGTCCTACTGTCACGCGTCTCCTTGCTACTGTCGTCACCGACCCTTCCTTTGAGTCCACTGCTGCGTCTGCCCTAGTTGCTGAGCTCGTCGACTTTGCTGCTCGCTGTCGTCTAGACTACGCTGCTAGTCTTGTCGATGAGTCTGAGTCTGTCTGTCCTCCGTCCGTCGGGGGTGAGTGTGCCCTTGGCACGGACGTCCTTGAGGACAGGCAGGAGGAGTTCCAGTGTTTGGCTGCTGCTTCACCTCATCTCGTGTCCGTACTGCTTACCCCTGAGGGAGACCCGGATGCACTTGACATCCCGACTCCGCGCTCTTACGCGGAGGCGATAGAGGGTCCCTACTCCTCTCAGTGGCAGGCAGCTATGGACACAGAGATGGCTTCCTGAAAGTCCACAGGCACCTACGTTGACGAGGTTCCCCCGCCTGGGGCGAACATCGTCAGTGGCATGTGGATTTTCAGGGTGAAGCGGCCGCCGGGTTCTCCGCCTGTCTTCAAGGCGCGTTACGTGGCTCGTGGCTTCAGTCAGCGGCAGGGAGTTGACTACTTTCAGACCTTCTCTCCCACCCCGAAGATGACCACTCTTCGGGTCCTGCTGCACATAGCTGCTCACCGTGACTACGAGCTGCACTCTCTTGACTTCAGCACTGCTTTCTTGCAGGGCAGCCTGCACGAGGAGATCTGGCTGCGTCGCCCACCTGGCTTCACTGGGTCTTTTCCTCCTGGCACCCAGTGGAGCCTCCGGCGGCCAGTCTACGGTCTCCGCCAGGCACCGCGTGAGTGGCACGACACACTGAGGACTACACTTGCGGCTCTTGGGTTTGCTCCCTCTACTGCCGACCCGTCGCTGTTTCTGCGCACCGACACTTCTTTGCCGCCGTTCTACATCCTCGTGTACGTCGACGACTTGGTCTTTGCCACAGCTGACACTGCTGGACTCGCCCACGTGAAGTCCGAGCTGCAGAAGAGACACACGTGCACAGACCTGGGTGAACTGCGCAGCTACCTTGGCTTGCAGATCACCCGGGACAGAGCACGCCGCACCATTACCCTGACTCAGTCACACATGGTGCAGCAGGTCCTTCAGCGCTTCGGCTTCACGTACTCCTCGCCTCAGGCCACTCCTCTGCCTACTTGCCACTCGCTCTCAGCTCTGCCTTCGGATGAGTCCGTAGAGTCGAGTGGCCCGTACCCAGAGCTTGTTGGCTGCCTCATGTACCTGATGACCTGCACACGACCTGACCTTGCATACCCTCTTAGCATTCTCGCACGCTATGTTGCTCCTGGGAGACACAGACCGGAGCACATGGCTGCAGCGAAGAGGGTGTTGCGCTACTTGTGCAGTACGTCGGGCATGGGGCTTGTGCTTGGAGGGCAGAGTCCAGTGGTCCTCACTGGGCACGCAGACGCTTCTTGGGCTGACGACCAGGCTACGCAGCGGTCGTCACAGGGTTACACCTTCAGCCTTGGTCCCGGCTCTGTTTCGTGGCGGGCTACCCGCTCGTCTTCTGTTCTCGGCTCCAGTTGTGAGGCTGAGATCTACGCCGGGGCCATGGCTGCACAGGAGCTTCGCTGGCTCACCTACCTGCTGACTGACCTCGGAGAGCCGCCTCGTTCTCCTCCAGTGCTGTACGTAGACAACAAGGCCATGCTGGCCTTGTGTCGAGAGCAGAGACTGGAGCACAGAACGAAGCACATTGCTCTCCGCTACTTCCTTGCTCGTGAGCTACAGCAGCGTGGTCAGCTGCGGCTTGCGTACGTGGCCTCTGAGGCCAACACTGCTGATATCTTCACCAAGGCACTTGCGCCTTGTGATCATCAGCGCTTCTGTACTCAGCTGGGTCTTGTGCCTACCTTGCCTCACTTGCTCACCCCTTGTTCTCTAGCCTTATATATATATGTAATCCTGCATGTGAACTGGCCTTGTGGCCTTGAACTTGTGCTCGGAATGTGTGGTGACTTTGTGATCCACCCTGAGCTTGCTTTGCTTTGCTTGACTGGTCTTGTGACCCCTTGTTCTCCCCCACTTTGCCTATGGGGGTGTGTCAGATTTATATGACATAGTTACTGTAGGCTAGAGTGGGGTAGCACATATAGGGTACAGTTGTCTAGGGTTTGCATTTGTACCCAACTTTCCCTTAGTCAATTCATTCTCGTTCAGTTTCTCAAGAGTGCCCCCTCGGACAACTGTGCTTGCATTCGAAGAATAGAGCGACACTGTCGCCATTCTGGTCCGAGACCCGCGAGTAGCACCGTGTGAAACATAGTGTCGGGGAAGTACCCTCCACACTTCTGAAGTTGATCACGCAGATTTCGAGCGCGGTTGATATACTGCGTCACCTTCTCGCCATTTATCATCTGTATATTTGACAGCTGCGTCAAAATTTTACTCTGGTTGACAGTGTCCTTTGCCATGTGAACCCCTTGCAGGTATAACCAAGCTGCTTCAGCGGGAGCGGCACTGGTACGAAAAGGACGAATACCAAGCTGTTCAGTCGGTGTCAGATTGCGAACGAGAACTGTGTATGCAGTCAGTGACGCTAATCGAAAAGTGGCCTGTTGAAGTGGTGACCCGTGTGATGGAAAGGGTGCTGTGCCGTCGAACAACTGCCAGAACCCCGCAGTCTGAACAAGAAGCTCAAATTCAAAGCTCCAGGTATAGAAGTCTTGACCGTTAAAAGGCACAGTCGTTTTAATTTTTGTTGGGTTTGCAGAAGCCGGAAGATAGTTTCCGGTACCGTCAGCTGATTGTAGCTGATAAAGTGATGGCATCTGTGACCCTTGTGGTGCTTGTTGTCCTTGTCCAGCAGGAACGAAAGAAAAAGAGTTATTCGACCCGTCGCTTCCCTGTGGCATCTGTCCATGCTGATAACTGGAACCATCAAGGCTCATAGGAGTTGGAAACATTTGGTTAAGTGACAAGACGGCAGCATTGACACGCTGTTGAAGATTCGTTGGCTGGTAAGCACCTTGATATTGATAAGGTCCAGTTGGTACGAAACTGGACTGTTGTCCTGGTTGACTAGAAGAACCAGTAACTGCAGTTGCAGCTGTTGTGGCTGCTGATGCTGCGGCTGCTGTCGATGATGACGCTGCTGCAGTTGTGTGTGTAGGCTGACTGCTCAGTGGCATGCCGTACATCGGTTGTTGCTGATATTGTTGTTGTTGATGTTGCTGCTGCAGATGTGAATTATCAGCAGCTGGAGACGCTGTTGGGCGTGATGGGCTCGTAACAGAAGAGCCGTTGTTGGACCGTGGAGATCCAGACATAGTTGTAGAGTATGTAGTTGGAAGCTTGTAGTATCCTAAGACGCTCGCAATACCATGTTAGGATTTGAAGTGATTGAATAGGATCGTACTACTTAGGATGGTAGCTTCCTGTCGTAGCGGAAGTCTTATATGAGTTAAAGCTTGTTATGAAAGCTTTGTCTGGACTCAATAAAAGCCCATGTAGTGATACGTTTCAGGATCAATGTCTCTGAAATCAGATATATTATAAAATGACAAACATACAAAATATATAACTAGAGTAAAGTACCTGTTCGCCTACTGTACTGTGCTTTTCTTGTTCTGAAACGGTACGTAACTTTTCACGAGGTCTATAGCTACGTGCTGACGCCATCCTAGGGCGCGTAGCGCTTTGCTGACGTCAGCCTATCGGTACTTTACTGTACTACACGAATTTCCTTGAAGTGCTTAAGTCTCGATATTATCTCAACACTATGATTACTACACGGAGCAGTCTTTACATATTTCATGCAATGTTCTTCACTCAAACAACTTATGGGAAAACCAAGTTGCGTTGTGCGCTCGCGTAACGCGTCTGTCGCAGTTCTCCTTCAGTTGCACTTGAAACGAAATCGGTAACCGACATCAAACAAAACTGACCCACCACCTCCACACAGGAAACTGGTTTGGCATTTGAATTCATTTGGCGAACCCTAGTTTCCACCATCCCGTCCTTCACAAATTCCTTCCCTGATTCTTGTATTATTCAGCGTAGCTCTGAACAATAGGTGAGCCTTCCCCACCGCTTCTAGTGTTGCTTTACCACCTCTAGGCTAAGTGCTGAGGCCGGAAGGCACAGGGGCAGCGGCGAACCACCCACTTGAGCCTCACAGTCCCGGCTACACAGTCGCGGCCTCGTAGCGGCACTCAGGGGGGCCAGCGGGTGGTGGCAGGTGTGTAGCGGGCAGCGGAACGCAGCGCGTAGTGGAGAGGGTGGCGACAGCGGGACGTACCTGGGCGGGCGTGCAGCGGGCAGCGGACAGCGGACAGCGGGCAGCGGGGCGTAGCAGGGAGCGGCGGGGATGGCGGAGGAGGAGGAGCTGGCGATGGGGTCGGACGACGACGCCGACGCGGAGAGCCCCGAGGAGATTCTCGCCAAGATAGACGACCGCTCGCAGCGCGTCGCGCACTTCCTGTCCGAGTGAGCCGCTCCTTCCGCGTCGCCCAGCGTTAGATCACTCACCCCCCACGTCCCCGCTCGTCCCTCCTCGTCCCGTGCATTCGCCCCTCTCGCTCCCTGCATTAGCCCCTCTCCCTACCTGCATTCGCCCTCTCACTCACTCGCCCCTCGTCCCACCGCAGCCCGTGCATTCGCCCCTCTTGCTCCCTCCATACGCCCTTCTGCTCCCTCCATTCGCCCCTCACTCCCTGCATCCGCCCCTCTCGCTCCCTCCATCCGCCCCTCTCGCTCCCTCCATTCGCCCTCTCGCTCCCTCCATCCGCCCTTCTCACTCCCTGCATTCGCCCCTCTCGCTCCCTCCATCCGCCCCTCTCGCTCCCTCCATTCGCCCTTCTCTCTCCCTCCATTCGCCCCTCTCTCCCTCCATTCGCCTCTCGCTCCCTCCGTTCACCCTCTCGCTCCCTCCATTCACCCTCTCGCTCCCTCCATTCACCCTCTCGCTCCCTCCATTCACCCTCTCGCTCCCTCCATTCACCCTCTCGCTCCCTCCATTCACCCTCTCGCTCCCTCCATTCACCTTCTCGCTCCCTCCATTCACCCTCTCGCTCCCTCCATTCACCCTCTCTCTCCCTCCATTCACCCTCTCTCTTCCTCCATCCGCCCCTCTCTCTCCCTCCATACGGGATGCCCCTGATTGCTCCCACGCGTCACTGTGATGGTGTGCTCGTCCCCGACCCCCCTCCTTTCCCCGTCCCTTTCCCCCTTCCCCCGTCCCCCTCCCCCCGATGGGGACGGGGTCTTCCCTGCAGGGGTCAATTATTAGAGGCGCTCAAGGCGGCCACGAACGACCCACCCATAGCCACCCCCTCTCCTGCCCTGCCTTCACCCCCCCAACTCCCCCTCTCCCCACCCCCTCGGGTCGGGTGCACGGGGCCTGACCTTCAGGGGTTGATTCCCAGAGGAAATCGAGGCAGCCATGAGGGATCCGCCCATCGCCACCCCCTTTCCCCATCCTCGTTCCCCCTTCCCCACTCTCCCCTCCCCGCGTGCGCGAGGCCTGCAGGGGTCGAGTGCCAGAGGCGCTCAAGGCGGCTGTGAGCGACCCACCCATCGCCACGCGCGACCAGAAATGCAAGGTGCGGTGGGAGGGTAGGGGGAGAGGGGAGGAGGTGCGCTGGAACTAGGGCTCGGATACACTAGTAGGTGCAACAAACTTTAGGGTTACTCAAAATGATGCATGTATATGAAATACGTGCAACTTGGATGCAACACGCTCAGGCAGCCAAATTGTGCTCACACAGGGTGGAGAAGGGGAGAAGAGCGGCGGGGAAAGGAGTGAGGTGGGGGGAAATAGGGGGTTCATTTGTTACCCTTTGCCCCGTTTTGCCCATGTTCCCATTTGCTTAGACTGCCCCACCCCCTCCAAATCTCAACTCAAGCATACGACAGGCGCATCCCCTAGCGTGTTGGCACACATGCATCCCAACCCAACGTGGTCCCTCAGTGCAGGCTGAAATCTCTGTCACCCTTTCGTGACTCATCCACACATTCCCTTTTATTCCGTGCCACTACGTGCCGTGCTGTGCCGGTGAGGGGCGGGCAGGACGCCAACTGGGAGGTGGTGCAGCGGGATTTCATCTGCCCCAGCTTCTGTGGCCTTCACCAAGTCCCTTCCATTTCATTCCGCTCTTTGCCCTGCTGTGCCGGTGATTGGTGGGCAGGATGCCAACTGGGAGGTGGTGCAGCGGGAATTCATCTACCCCAACCTTCGTTGCCTTCACTAAATCCCTTCCATTTCCTTCGCACTTTGCACTCATCTGCTGGGCAGGATGCCAACTGGGAGGTGGTGCAGTGGGCGCTGGTCGCAGTGCTTTTGAGGCGCTCAAAATTCATTTTCTGAATCCCACTTCGTGTCGTGCTGGGCTTTTGTGTGCCACTCCGTCCTGTACTGTGCGGGCGGGTTGCTGTGGAGGATGCCTGTTGGGAGGTGGTTCAGCGGAAGCCGTTCTTTTAGGCGCTCAAAGCTCATTCACTGAATCCCTTCCATTCCGTGCCCTCCGGCCAGGATGCCAACTGGGAGGTGGTGCAGCGGGCGCTGGTGGCAGTGGAAGACGTGGATGGGGCCATTGCAGGGCTCAAGTCGGAGGGGTGCGATACTCTAATGCGGTGAGTGCCATGTGTGCTGTGTGCTGCCATTCTTTGTCCTGCTGTGTGGGGTGAGTACCGTGTGCCTTATGAGTCGATTCAAGAGGCAGTTTGCTAGTGGCGGTGGAGGATGCGGATGGGGCCATTGCAGGGCTAGAGTCGGAGGGGTGTGACACAACACAATCATGTGGTGACTGCGTGCTGTGTGCCCGTAGAGCAGACTGTGTAAGTACCGTGCGGCTTTTGAGTCGGTTCATGAGTCAGCGCGCTGGTGGCGGTGAAGGATGTGGATGGGACCATTGCAGGGCTCAAGTCGGAAGGGTGCGACACGACACACTCATGGGGTGAGTAGTGTGTGTGGTGCCATTTCTTGCCCTGCTGTGCGGGTGAGTGCCATGTGGCTGTAGAGTCGACTCAAAACTTGGCGCGCTGGTGGCAGTGGAGGATGTGGATGGGGCCATCGCAGGGCTCAAGTCGGAGGGGTGTGACACACTCATGCGGTGAGTGTTGCGCTGTGTGTTTCTTGATCGACTCATGTGGTGACTGCGTGCTGTGTGTGTGCCCGTAGTGCAGACTGCGTGAGAGCCGTGTAACTTTAGAGTCATCTCACTAGTCACCTCGCTGGTGGTGAGTTAGTGCAGATGAGTCACGCATTGGGTGCGGGATGAGTCACGGATGAGGCCTATCCATGCATGCTGGGTGCGGGTCAAAGGTGACCCAACATCGGGTGATAACCTTGGCTTATCCAATCCAATTAGACCTGCACCTTTAGGGGTGAGGTTGGGTGTGACCCAAATCTGGGTCAGGTGTGACCCAAACCCGCCCCCCGTGCATTACACCCTAAAATCTGGGGTGCGGTCATGGAGGGCTGAATGTGTGCTAATGAATTGCGTTGTCAAGGTATGCGGAGTGTGCTGGCGCCCTGAGCTGTGCTCGCGCCCTGAGCCGTGCTGGCTCGCAATGTTGTCGTTGTGCTGGTGTGCTGCGTTTTCAATGTTGAGGGAAATCAACGGGCCGCATTACGGCTAGTAGACATGAGTGCACAGCACGCCCCCAGCACACCTTTTTCCTGTCTCTCTCCCGTTTTAAATCTTCTGGCACCTCTCTTTCTCTTTCCTCCTCACCACCCATCCCTCCTGTGCCCCATTTTCTACCTGTTCGACTATGCCACGAGTGAGACTCATCTTGCTCTCATATCATCTTGCCGCCTGGCCATGACTCATGAAGCGCCACCAACCATCCCCCTCCGTGCCTTAATTTCTACCTGCTCCACTATGCTACGAGTGAGACTCGTCTGTCTCTCATACCATCTTCTGCAGCACCTGCTCTCTCTTCCACCATGCCGCCTAGTCATGGCTCATGAAGTGCCACCACCCATGCCTTCCACACCTTTCCACAGCCGGTCCTGCCCCCTCACCCTGCCATGCCCCACCACCCTTAAATACCCCTCTGCCCCAACATGCCACTATTCTCCACTATCCCTGTACTGAGCAAAGAATTCATTTCTCTCATACCGTCCAGCGCCTTTGCTATTGCGCCATGGCGACATGTTATGAAGCCCTAGAACCTATGTCTTTCACGCCGTTCCATAACCCGCCATTCCATAACCCGCCCTGCCACTTCACACTGCTGTCCTCTTACATATCGCCATCCCCCTGCAGGTACCTGTACCGAGCACTGAGAACAGGGGATGCATCACTGTGTGCGCGGGCGCTGCGGGTGCATGATTCTATTATTGAGGCGCCTAATGATGAGTTTCTGCAACCCAACATGCCCTTCCACCTCAACATGCCCCCCACATCGCCTTGCCCCCGCAGGTACCTGTACTGCGCGCTGAGGAGGGGGACCCATCGCTGTGTGCTCCTTCACCCCACTGCCACGCCCCCTGCACCCCCCTGTGTCCCTCCGCTCTCACGTGCCCCCCCACATCGCCATCCTCCTGCAGGTACCTGTACCGTGCACTGAGAACAGGGGATGCATCGCTGTGTGCGAGGGCGCTGTGGGTGCATGAGAAGCTGACGGAGAAGGCAGGGCTGGGCTGCATCATGCGCGTTATGGCTGATCGCAAGCACACAGTATAGTGTTCAGTGTGTCCTCTGTGTGCCCCTCCTTCACGCTACTTGCCCTCCTCATCACCATGCTGTTGAGGCTCTTCACAAGGGGAAGGCAGGGCTGGGCTGCATCATGCGTGTCATGGCTGATAGGAAGCGCACCGTGTAGTGCAGCACACCGTGTAGCGTCCAGTGTGCCTTGTCCAGTGCGTTGTTATCAACTGGAAAAAAGATGGTAAAGAATCGGGGATAAGATGGTAAAGGTGAAGGGGTTTGGGGTTGGGCTTTTTTGAGAGGGAGAGGAGGAAGAAAGGGGTTAGGAACATGGGAACTAGCAGAAATCCACATGTTATGTATTTTTAGGGAGCGGACAAAGTTTTCATGTACAGTCACAACATTCCCTGGCCCCATGCCACCGCACACCCACTCCCACACCCACACCCACACCCACACCCACACCCACACCCACACCCACACCCACACCCACACCCACACCCACACCCACACCCACATGTTGGGCTGAGAACAAGCCCTTGGGATATTTTCAAGGCTAAGACTTTGGTTAGAGATGTTGTAATTGCGGAAGCGTATAATAATCTTGTCGAACCACCTTGCACTAGTGTGTGAGAGCAAGAGATTGATTATAGCAAGGTAATACAAGGTCTTTTATAAGATTACAAGGAATATGAAAAGGACTGTTTTGCTGTTGTGTTTCGATACAGTAACGACTCGGGCAACTGCTCAATACCGAGCCAGTTGTTTGTCCTTGCTGTCGCGCTGTATTTCGTCGAGTCAAGGGTCGCTGAACTTTGACCTTCGCGTAATTTCCAGCTGTTACGTTTTATTAACCTCCTTGGTTGACTCGCTTGTTGCTTCACCGTAGTCTGCTTCGTTCGTGTTATTACTTCGATACTTCTGAAGCGCCAACTATGTGTTTCCAACACTCCCCTTCGCTTCTGGAGTGTCATCACCTTTGTTGCTGGTGACGTGGCCTTGTCCAGTCAGCAGCATGCAGTACTCGAACTTTTACTTGGTCAAGTAATCTGCTGCCATCTCGGACGTGGGACACTAGGATAGCTCGAGTGTTCCTTTCTCGATCTCGTCCTTCACGAAGAAATACGAAGGGCGATGTGCTTCGTTCGATTTGCGAACCCGCTCTTGTTCGCTATGCGAATTGCGGATTGATTGTCGCAGAAGAGGGAGAAGCTGGGTATGAGCCATCTTTGCTTCTTCCAACAGTTCGCGAAGGTATAATCCTTCCTTGGTGGTTGAGAAGAGTGCGATGTATTATGCTTCAACTGAGGAGAGAGCGATTAGCTCTTGCTTGTTCGACTACCATGAAATGGGGCCGATAGGTTCGAGTCGGTAGATGTAGCCAGTGCGAGATCGCCTGTTGTCAGAGTCTCCGGCGTGATCGGCGTCGACGTAGCCAATTAATTTAGGTGTCGCGGTTTCAGTTTTGTGGTAGGTTAGGCAGACTGTCGGGGTACTGACGAGGTAGTGTAGAGCGCGATCGAGTTCCGCCATGTGCGCGGCTGTGGGCTTCTTGAGGTAGGTGGCGAGCTGGCTCGCTGAGTATGATAGATCTGGTCGGCAAGTGACGGCTGCGAAGGGGAGGCAGCCTAGCTTTTGTTGGTAGTCGCGTATGACGGCGAATTTGAAAGGCGCGGAGATTTCCTTGCGGCTTCCGTCGGTGTAGCGATATGGTGTGGTAATGGCGCTTGGGGTTCATCCGAAGCGTTTGGCGATGGCGTCGGCGTATTTCGCGGCGCTGAGGTAGATCGCGTTTTCCCCGTCTTGTATGTTGAGTCCTAGGTACTGTGTTACGGTAGACGAGACGGTGGTCGTGAGGTCCCGTTGTAGCTTCCCTTCGAACCAGGTCGTGACGTCGTCGGTAGAGCCGATGTAAAGCAGGTCGTCCACATAGACTATGAGTAAGATGTAGTCGGCACCCTTCGTGAGACGCTACATCCCTTGGTCGTGCGGGAGTTGGCGAAATCCGATGCGAATCAATCGAGCGTGCAGATATTGTTGCCACAGCCTCGGAGCCTGTTTGATCCCGTACAGGGATTTTAGTAGTAGACAGACTTGGTTAGGGTCTGCACTAGACCCATGTGGTTGTTCGACGAAGATTTCAGCGTCGACAGGGGCGTAGAGGAAGGTGTTATAGTCTAGAGTCCACTTAGGGGTCGTAGATGCCCTTGTAGCCACCTAAGCAGAATCTGATGACTTCGAACTGCCTCTGTTCAAAACGCCGTCACGATCAGCTCCGATAACAAACGAGGCTGAAACTTGGACAGACGTTAGCTTCAGGTGTCTGCTTTCCAACGGTATATGGCTTGCTTTCATCAGAGGTGTATGCGTTACGCAGTGAACAAAAAACATAAGCTCGGCTGAAAAACGAGTAGCTTCATTGATGCAAGGAAGAGGTTGAGTGCAACATTGCCTAGGGGACTCTCAAGGGGTTGGGACCATCCTGGGAACTCAGAAAAGGTTGAGTCCTAGGGGAGAAAGGCTAGAGAAGGATGGGAAACGTCCTAGCTAGGTCAGCAAAGCCAACCACACTTAGATGTTCAGAGCTGTACTCAAGGCTACCAATAGTGAGTCAAGCCAACCATGAGTCAGCTTGTCTTCCCACTTGCACCCTCTTGCAAGCTGCTTCTAGGAAGACCACACTTCTCAAAAGGAGGGTGGTAGAGTCCCACTTGACCACCTGTACTTCTTGTCTCATTCTCTGTCCCTGCACCATTGGCATGACAACAATGAAAGGGTGGCAAGGGAAATGCTGCCAACAGTGCACCATGACTACGGAACAGTAACTTTCGACAGCTGTCACGTGCTGCTCCGATGCTGGGTTGTCCTGAAACTCGGTGACCACCTGCACAACACGGCAAAGGACTGCCACACCGATTTTCAGACCAATCAGAGCTCGGTAGATGAGTCAGCAGCCGAAATGGTGAACTCGGGTGTTACAAAAAAAGAGTAACACACACTTCCGGGATGCCATAAGTCTTGAAACTAAAAATGTTGCAATGCCTTGTAAACTGCTTCAAAAACTCTGAAACTTTGAGGGTATGAAGACACCATATCCACGGCCGATGCTCGCTGCCCCAGCGCCATCCGCACTCGCCAACTCACGGCGGCGGAAATCCTCTTGAAGGATAGCTCGCTTCACGTCTTCAAGCGAGAGGCGGGGCAAGTCGCGATTAAGGTTGATGATGAGCGAGGACCATGACTCTGGGAGTAAGGCCAGCAACTTGGTCTTCTTTTGGAGCTCACTGTAGTTCAAATCAGCTCCCTCAAGCCGCGTCAACAAGTCGAAGAATTTCTGCACCCCTTCTTCAACCGCTTCGTCTTCTTCAATTCGTAGTGCCGCCATTTGCCGTTCCAACACCACCGCTACCGCCGCTGTTGCAGGAGCATGTACACCCTTGAGAGCAGCCCATGCCTTTGGTCCTTTCTCTGGTTCACGCTGGAATGGCTTGATGTGACGGATCTGACTGCTCCCCAACGCTTGCCCAAGTAAGAGATAGCCTTGTGCGCTCTTCCGCACCCACGGGCTCTTCTCCGGGTCGTTCTTGGGGCGCTTCTCCGTTCCTTCCATCACCTCCAGCAGGTCATAGTGGTCAAAGATGTTCTCCATCTTGAAGGACCATTCAGCAAAGTTGTTACCGTTGAACTTGTCAAGCCCAAACACCCTAGGCTCATCCCTAGGTGGGCCAAGACTTGGTTGCATGGGCGCCATGGCTGAATCACGGGGTTGGCCTTGAGCTTGAGCTTCTCCACTGCCACCAGCACCTCTGCCACCCCTTTCCTCAGGTCCAGACATTGTCGAAACTGCTCCAAGGGCCTCTGATACCACTTGTTATAGTCACAATAGGCTTGAATGTGCCTAAAACGAAAGATAGAGAGCACAGACGGATTTCTGCACAGCGGCTTCAAACGTTGATAGCGTTCTGCTCACAGCTGCAAATGACTTGATTCAAATTGGATCTGGAGCGTCTTCACGTCGTCTACAATTAACAATTCAGATTGCACGATTTGATAAAGAATTGACGACACAGCGTCGGTTTGAACGAACGGTACTATGGCAGCCACTATAGTCTTAGAACACAAGATAGGAAGAGTTACGAGTTGGGAATGACTCCCAGCTCCTACAAACCCCAAGAGCCGAGGTACAGTGATGTGGAACAGTGCCACACTGTCCCCAACCACGAAGGGTCTCGAAACTACCCTTCACTAGGGCCTACACCAAGTGAAATGTTACACTACACAAAGTAATGTAACTATCTTCAATATCTTGAGGTGTACCCTTTTGGCAAGCTTCGAAATCACTTGAGGCTTGACACCAAGGCTCGGGCTCTTCATCACAAACTCATCCTTGAGTTCTTGATGGGTCTGCTGCACACACCTGCGACACGCCGAACGTTCGACACAGGACAAAATAGAAACCGCGCACGACAAAATAGAAACCGCGCGCGAGACACAAACGACCGCGTAACACGCGTCTAGCGATAACTCGCTATTGACTCGACACACACACTCGACATCATGACTCAACATTCACACACAATTATAAGTATGAAATATATATTATCCCATGCCCTCATACCTTTCCATACACACACACATTCACGCACACGGACAACAAGCCGAGTGCAAACCGTAGGGTTGCACCAACAAACTCCCCCTCGGATTGTTGGCCTTAGGATATGTTGCTCTCTCAGTTCAGAGCCATCCCAGCCAGCTTGCAACACTTCCAATGCTGCTGCTCCACCAGCCTCTTGGTCATCATGTCAGCCGGCTGCCCCGTGGTCTTCACGTAGCGCAACTCAACTTCACCCGCGGTTACCATGCTCCTCGTCCAATGCCACTTCTCCCTCATGTGCTTCGTGAGTCCATGCAACACAGGGTTCTTAGCAAGAGCAATGGCACCCTGGCTGTCACAGTACAGTGGGGTAGGTCCTTGCTGCTCCTCCCCCAATTCAGCCAACAAACGCCGCTGCCACACAATCTCCCATACGGCACGG